ATTCCCCAGCCAGCATGGCTGGCTGGGGAATTCTGGGAGTTGAAGTCCACACTTCTTAAAGCAGCCAAGGTTGAGAAACACTACTCTAGGACTTTGTCTTTGCCTTGGGAGGGAGATGGGACCGTTCACTCCCCAACCGCACGATGCCAATGACCAGATGAAATTAATTTAATTCAAGCAGCCCAGGGTTGTTTGGATCTCAAAGAATTCTTCCATGGCTGGAACGACTCCCTAACTCTCCTCTCTTGACTTAGGTGCGAGATGCGACAAGGGCTGTTCTTTCAGAGCTTGCACATTTCACCCGAGTTGGGAAATAGTGCATTCTGGCATTTTGTCCCACTCCTCCTCTGTACGTAGCTGGTTTTGTTGCTGTCGTTTTCCTTTCCGCATTAGCAACGCATCTGGAAGTCTCAGGAAAGTACTGCAAAAAATCAGTCTGGATGTCAATGTTTGTATCATTGCATCAAGATTCCTTTCATGCCGTGTTTGGCTGCTGGGCCTCGGTGCCGTTCTGCCGTGGCCGAACACTGCCAAAAAGATCTTGATGTGGCCATCTGAATGATCGTTACATTAAGATTTCTTTGGTGCCGAGTTTTACTAATGTGTGCCTGTGCCATTCGGCATTAATCAAACCCTATGCAAAAAGAATATCGACAGAAGCTTCGCTTGCTTCTTCTGTATTCCTGGTGTTTTATCCTTGCATGTCAACAGTGCTGTGTGCAAAATTCAAGTCGGGGATTTTTTAAAAGAAGAGCAGAGTACTCTCAGATTGGGTTTGCATAGAATGGATTGTTTGATTTCAGGTTAATTGAAGACCACTAGCCGCATTTCTACAAGTTTGGTGGAGTCTTAATGCTGGTTAGTTTTTTTCTGGCTTATTGTGTGGACCATTAAGTTAGATTGTGAACCTCAGGAACATCTGTAGGGGGCAAAAAGGGCAAGTTGGTGGCCAAGTGAATGGTGGAAGCCCAGCCCTTTTTTTATATGCACGTGATGCATATACAAAAAGGATGGAGCTTCAGTCAGGCTGCTGCAGCCACCATCTTGCCTTTTTTGACCCCCCCTCCCTTGCAACACTGCTATTTGTGGTTCGGTGTACTGCATGGCCCCAGAAAATGGGTTCAGTCAGTAACCACATTTGAGCAGGTTGTGTGAATGCAGCCCAGACATTTCGGTTCGACGCAGAAAAGAGGATGAG